AGGAGAGGAGGGGAGGGGAGAGGAGGGGAGGGGAGGGGAGGGGGAGGGGAGGGGAGGGGGAGGGAGAAGGAAAGGAGGAGAGGGAGAGGGAGGGGAAGGGGAGGGAGAGAGAAAAGGAGAGGAGGAAGAGGGAGAGGAGGAGGATGGAGACGAGGAGGAAGGGGAGGAAGAGGGAGGAGGGAGAGGGAAAGGGAGAGGAGGAGGGGAGGGGGAGAGGGAGGAAGAAGGGGAGGAGGACAAAAGAGAGAGGGGAGAACGAACACATGGGTCATTTCTATTACAATCCACCAATTTAGATCTCATGAAGCTGGGAAAGCCAACTTCTCTCTACCCCAAAGCAGTTAAAGACTCGCTCACTCCAAAGTATTCTTGGGTAGACAGGGAGTCAGAATATAGGAATAAAATGTAAGATACAGGGAATTACCCTGAGAACGAAGGAGAAAAGGATGGGCAAAGAATATAGACCAGACTGGATCCCATCAGCTTAAACTATGACCAGGTGGGCTAGAGAGGTGGCTCAGTGGTTAAGAGGAATCTCTGTACAGTCATGAGGACTGCAGCCCACACCCCATTACCCAAATAAAAAGTTTGGCATCCCATACAACTGCAAATTAAAAGGCCAGCCTGAGCTACAAAGACACTAACTCAAGATGAATAAATGAATAATGAATAAATAATGCATAGGGTAAAATAGTTTATATATAGTATGCCAAGTACATGCACACACACTTATATATGTCTTATGTATGACAGACAAGGTCTTGCTATGTTGCTACTGATGTAAGCCTTTATTTCCTGGGCTAAAGCACCACTATGTCTAGTTGTCAAGCATATTTTATCAAAGCACACAAATACACGTATCAGAAAAGAGACTAAAATTCTAACAGTGCTTCTAGGACTAGAGAAAAAAATTCCCCAGCACTGTTTGAAGTTTAATTAGGTTACCTTCATAATGCAATATATGTGTAAATATAAAAAGAAACAATTTTTCTGTTTCTGTTACATACTCTTCTACTACTCCAAATAATAAATGATATGAATAAAACAATTTTTAAAGTCTGCCTGTCTACCTGGGGGGAAAAAACATAAGGACAGCAGCCAGCTATCTTTGTGTAAACAAAGAATGTTCATGTCTGATTAAAATGTACTTGATTAAAAAGTGATGAGAGTATTAATAAAAACTAAAAGTAAATATCTTCTTCAGCCTTCATTATAGGATAAAGAATTATTTTATAATACATTTGCTGAAAGAAAGGAGGATCACCAGAGGCTCGACCCAGAGCCACCGATGCTGTAGGAAGACAGTTGTGACCCTGGCCCACAGTCTCTGTCTCCAGGGCCTCACAGCACAGGCACCAGGTAGCAGATTTCACTGATGCCCGCAACAGACAGAAGCCACTTACCGAACCTGGTTCTCTAAAAACTGCATGTAGCGGTAGAGCAGGGTGTAGGATGGAGAGAGGATGCCCACAGACTTCATCCGAGCGCCACGCTCCAGCTCGCTCTCCACAGGCATGTTGGCAAAGCAGGCCAGGCCAAAGAAGGGGCCCTTCCGAAAATAGCTGAAATAGACCAAATATGCACTGTGGCTACAATTTAGGAAGATGACTTGCTTTTTTTTCCTTTGCAATGCAATCTCTGCCCAAACAACTATGTTCAGAGTTCCGAATAAAGTCGGGCCATAAAAGAAGCCATTCAGTTTCCCCAGGAGTGGCCATGGCTCCAAGACTCCAGAACTTGCCATCCCAGAGTGAAAGGCTAGAGTTAGCATAAGGTGTCTACAAGCATGCCACTCAAATGCCCACAGCCAGAGACTGTGGTATCCTTTCTGGCACAGCTAACAGCTTCAGTGTGAGACCCAGAACCAGGGTTGACCTCCGGGCTCCTTTGGAATTCAGTCTGTTTTCTCTCAGAGACTCCAATTTTCTCAGATTCTCCAATACAGTTGACATTTCACCTCCTTCCCCTTTTCACACTTGGATCAGCCATGGTCTCAGCCCAATGCAGAGATTAAAGCTACAGATTATTCTTAAAGTATGTCCGCTGGCTTCTCATAAGATTTACCATGCACCATTTACACATCACTAAAACTGGCCTGCTTAAAGCTAGTGTTTCGAATTTATCACATAGACGTCTTAGGTTAACTCACACTGAACTCAACCTCCTTTCTTACACTAAAACCAAACCTCCCTGAGGACCGCACATCCAGTCAGTAATAGCAGAAGCTGTTGTAGGAGCTGTCAACATGGAATGCTGGGACCCATTGAGAACGTGAGAGCTGGAGCCCTTCTTGGTGGGAAACTGGATAAACGCACAGAAGACTTACATATACTATCTAAAGACACCTCTTGATAACGCGCTCTGGAGAATACAGGAGAGACGAGATCAAGTAGCACAAAATAGGTTCGGAAGTACTCACATGAAATCAGACTGAACTTTATGGGACCCGCTGGCCATAGACTTGAACTCGACACCTTCAAGGTCAATATCTTGAGGTAAGCACCATTCCACCATGTTTCCTGTAGGAACAGGGGGATCAAGTTAATAGAAACAAAAAACATTCAGAGAGAAGAGCATCTCATCGCTACTCAGAAATATGCTGCTTCATCACAATGATCCAGAACCACTAAAGGAGATGCTCAGAGGCTCTTCTATCTCCTGATGAACTACATCAGAGGACCAGGAGGGGGCAGTAGAGGGACCTCATCCTGGCTTCAGATTCAGCTCCCTTCAGGTCACTCTCAAATCTTCCTCTCATGGCTTCACCTCTCTAAGTATCCATGGTTTTGTTTGTTTGTTTTTTGAAACCTTAGGCTCCCATTTCTCCATCCTATATTGTTACCTCAATCTCTTGAATTCTGTTTTTAATCATACCATCTAAATAGCCACTAAGGTCTGACCAAAAAAAAAAAAATCCTCATTCGCACTGACCTCTTTGCTAATTCCTCAAAACTCCTCTTTCTCTTAATTTCCCTGATAGGATATAATAATTCTGGCTCTTCTCCTGTGTCTATGAGCAGTATGGCCCACCCCTCCCCTCTTCTTGTCTTTCCCCACATGTGGCCATCTTCAAGAACCAATTACCAGTCTTCACCTCAGGAATTCTGGGACTTAGTCCCTCATAACTGGTCTCTGGGTTTCTAAGCTTGGTGTTAGAAACGAAGAACAAGACATAATCCCTGACCACAGAGAGATGATGAGAGTCTAAAGTTAACCAGATGGCAGAGATAAAGACCAGTTAGGTGACTGCTGTGACAGAAGGTAGAAGAGGCTGTAGAATCCATCACTGGAGATGTGGTCCAGACTGAGGGGATGAAAGCACTGCACAATTAGCTATAGGTGGGTGGGATATCATAGAAATCTGTTTTGTGCATAGTCAAATTTTTCCAGACTGAAAGAATAAGTAACTTGTGAGGTTTCATTTTTGAGCAAGCTGACTTGCACTCTAAGTCCCCGTTTTGTAGGCAATAAAACCATCATCAACTATCTTAGCCACCACCACTTTCAGATAATTGTTTGGGACATCAGAGAGAACACGGTCCAGTCTTATGTCACTGCAGACAGCAAAGAGGATCACCCGGTCCCACACTCAACCTAAGGCACCTACAAATAATCTATTATGGAAAAAGAAGAAGAAGCGCAATTCTATCCAACTAATGAATTCACTAAAACAAACAAACAACTTGAAAAGAATAAACTAAAATTCCATAAAACAAAAAGGCTAAAATGACATTCTGTTAATCCAGCTAAAGATAGGAAAAAGAGTGTTGAGAGTGAACTAAGTTTCCTACTCTTCGAGTCCCCCATTCCTGCATCCTCTCCCTTATTATGCACGTACATCCATCTAAAGTTCAAGGGATCTAACCAATAGGCTTGTGTATACTAGACACCGCTGACCTGCATCCATCCTAGGCTCTATCACCACTCCTATGTATTCGCCTAGCTCTAACCCACAGCTTCTTATAACTTGAAGAAATGTAAGTTACCTAAACTTGTACTGAAGCCTCGCATTAAGTATAAGTTAAACAACACATTCAGTTTTTCTCGAAGAGAGCATTCCTGCACAGGAGGCAAGGGAAGCTCAAGAGACAGAAAGTGTATTGTAGCACAATATCTACGTAGCTTCTGGTGCCCATTTAGGTCAGTGCTTATTAAAAGCTATGGCAACTAGTACTGCGGTAAACAATTTGTTGTCTGTCATCTGGTAAGCGCCTGGGCTGGGTTTTGATGGCCCTTCCCTGCATTGCTCAACTGAACTGCATTGCTGAGAATTCCCTTCCATGTATGTTTCCAACTGAAAGTTGAAGGTGGCTGTGAAGGTAGCATCTGGAAGGTTGGTGTTGGAGCATGAGGCATTGATGCTATCCTCACCTTCTGTGATGGGAACAGCAGCCAGGCCTGCTGATACTAGAGATGTTCCCCTGGACTGCTGTGCTGGCCATTCTTAAGTCAGGGACACACAAACTAGAGTTATCCAAAAGGAGGGAACCTCAATTGAGAAGGTGCCTACATAAGATCTGGCTGTAAGGCATTTTCTTAACTAGTGACAAATGGGGGAGGGCCCAGCTCATTATGGGTTGGTCACTCTTGGGCTGGTGGTCCTGTGTTCTGTAAGAATGCAGGCTGGGCAAGCCAGGGGAAGCAAGCCAGTAAGCAGTATCCCTGATGACTTCTGCATCAGCTTCTGCCTCCAGGTTCCTGCTCAGTATGAGTTCCTGTCCTGACTTCCTTTGATGAATACCCATATGGACATGTAAGCCACATAAACCCTTTCCACCAAAACTTGCTTTTTGGTTGTGGTGTTTCATCACAGTGAGACACAGTGATCACTAAGACAAGTGCCTTGAGCTTTGTAAGTGGGGTGTTTTTCTCTTCCATAAAGAATATCTACTTCTCTTATAGGACACCTACACCATCAACAATGGAGACCAACTGACCAAGTATGCTGGTCCATGCCTTTAATCTTAGCACCTGGGAGACAGATGCAGGCAAGTTAAGAGTTTGAGGCCAAGTTCCAGGCCAAGCAGAGCTACATAGTCAGATACCATCTCAGAAGAAAACAACAAAACAAACCTGAGAACAGTCACAGACTCACCCAGGTCCCCATCCACCCCCAGGAGACCCATCTGACTCCTTCCCATAATCACTATCCTCCTTTACATCCATCTACCCATCAGATTCCAAGCTCCAAGCACATAGCAGTCTTACACAGACTAGCTAAGTAGTCCTCACAGTACGTTACGTAAGTTCTAGTCCCTGCAGCAATCCTTGTATAGAAGGTGTAGCTGCTGTTACCCTGTCTGAATCTTGACTAACATGATTCCCACACGTTCCTGTTACTTCACTGCAAACTAAGGAATCTTCAGGGACTCAAAGGCAAATATGAACAGGGCTTCTTAAAGAAATATAAAGAAGGTGCCGGTGCCCGGAGCAGTCCTAGGGTGCCAGCTCTGCACCCAATCCCCCAAAATCCAGAGGAGGCTGGACTCCCAGGAACTCTAACACGCCTAGGAACAAAGGATATCACAGGATCTCAGGAGCTTGGGCACACCAGGATTCCAGGATCCCAGAAGCAGCCTGACTCCCGGGAGCTATCACAACCAGGATCTCAGGATCACAGAGACAGCTGGACTCTGAGGACTTCTGACACAACCAAGATAACAGGACAGACAGGCTCCAGTCAGAGACAGTGAGTACAGGTAGCACTAGAGATAACCAGATGTCGAAAGGCATGCACAAGAGTATAAGCAACAGAAACCAAGGTTACTTGGCATCATCAGAACCTAGATCTCCCACCATAGCAAGTCCTGAATAGCCCATGACACTGGAAAAGCAAGATTCAGATTTAAAATCACTTCTCATGATGATGATAGAGGTCTTTAAGAAGGACATAAATAACTCCCTCAAAGAAATAGAGGAGAACACAGGTAAACAGGTAGAAGCCCTTAAAGAGGAAACACAAAAATCCCTTAAAGAATTACAAGAAAACACAACCAAACAGGTGAAGGAACCAAACAAAACCATCCAGAACATAAAAACTGAAGTAGAAACAATAAAGAAATCACAAAGGGAGACTACCCTGTAGATAGAAAACCTACGAAAGAGATCAGAAGTCATGGATGCAAGCATCACCAACAGAATACAAAAGATAGAAAAGAGAATCTCAGGTGCAGAAGATACCATAGAAAACATTGACGTAACTGTCAAGGAAAATACAAAATGTAAAAAACTCCTAACCCAAAACATCCCAGAAATCCAGGAAACAATGAGAAGACCAAACGTAAGGATAATAGGTATAGAAGAAAGTGAAGATTCCTGACTTAAAGGGCCAGTGAATAACTTCAACAAAATTATAGAAAAGAACTTCCCTAAGCTAAAGAAAGAGATGCCTATGAACAGACAAGAAGCCTACAGAACTCCAAATAGACTATATCAGAAAAGAAATTTCCCTTGTCACATAATAATCAAAACACCAAATGCACAAAACAAAGAAAGAATATTAAAAGCAGTAAGGGAAAAAGGGTCAAGTAACTTATAAAGTCAGACCTATCAGAATTACACCAGACTTCTCACCAGAGACTATAAAAGCCAGAAGATCCAGGACCAATACCACACAGACCCTAAGAGAACGCAAATGCCAACCCAGGCTACTATACCCAGCAAAACTCTCAATTACCATGGATGGAGAAACCAAGATATTCCATGACAAAACTAAATTTACACAGTATATTTCCACAAACCCAGCATTACTAAAGCATTATGAAAGGATAATAGAGGGAATCCTCCAACACAAGGAGGGAAATTATACCCTAGAAAGAGCAAGAAAATAATCTTCTTCCAACAAATCCAATAGAAGATAGCCACACAAACATAATTCCACCTCTAATAACAAAAATATCAGGAAGCAACAATCACTTTTCCTTAATATCTCTTAGCACCAGTGGACTCAATTCCATAAGACATATAAATAAAAAGACAGACTAATGGACTAGATACGTAGACAGGACCCAACATTTTGCTGCATCCAGGAAATGCACTTCGGTGACAAAGACAAAAACTACCTCAGAATAAAAGGATGGAAAACTATTTTCCAAGCAAAGGGTTCCAAGAAACAAGCTAGAGTAGCGATTCTAATATCAAATAAAATCGATTTTCAACCAGAAGTTATCAAGAAAGATAAGAATGGACACTTCATACTCATCAAAGGAAAAATCTACCAAGGTGAACTCTCAATTCTGAACATCTACACTCCAAATGCAAGGGCACCCACATTCATAAAAGAAACTTTACTAAAGCTCAAAGCACACATTGCACCTCACACAATAATAGTGGGACACTTCAACACCCCATTCAGCAATGGACAGATCATGGAAACAGAAACTAAACAGAGACACAGTGAAACTAAGAGAAGCTATGAACCAAATGGATTTAGCAGCTATTTATAGAACATTTCATCCTAAAACAAAAGAATATACCTTCTTCTTAGAACCTCATGGTACCTTCTCCAAAATTGATCATA